AGTCCTGATTTAGTCCTGGTTCAGTCTTGTTTTAATCCGGGTTTAGTCCTGGTTAAGTCCTGTCTTAGTCCTGGTTTAGTCCTGATTTAGTCCTGGTTCAGTCTTGTTTTAATCCGGGTTTAGTCCTGTTTTAGTCCTGGTTAAGTCCTGTCTTAGTCCTGGTTTAGTCCTGATTTAGTCCTGGTTCAGTCTTGTTTTAATCCTGGTTTAGTCCTGATTTAGTCCTGGTTCAGTCTTGTTTTAGTCCTGGTTCAGTCCTGTTTTAGTCCTGGTTCAGTCCTGTCTTAGTCCTGGTTCAGTCCTAGTTCAGTCCTGGTTAAGTCCTGTTTTAGTCCTGGTTAAGTCCTGTCTTAGTCCTGGTTTAGTCCTGATTTAGTCCTGGTTCAGTCTTGTTTTAATCCGGGTTTAGTCCTGTTTTAGTCCTGGTTAAGTCCTGTCTTAGTCCTGGTTTAGTCCTGATTTAGTCCTGGTTCAGTCTTGTTTTAATCCTGGTTTAGTCCTGATTTAGTCCTGGTTCAGTCTTGTTTTAATCCTGGTTCAGTCCTGTTTTAGTCCTGGTTGAGTCCTGTTTTAGTCCTGGTTCAGTCCTGTTTTAGTCCTGGTTCAGTTCTGTTTTAGTCCTGGTTCAGTCCTGTTTTAGTCCTGGTTCAGTTCTGTTTTAGTCCTGGTTCAGTCCTGTCTTAGTCCTAGTTCAGTCCTAGTTCAGTCCTGGTTCAGTCCTGGTTCAGTCCTGGTTCAGTCCTGGTTCAGTCCTGTCTTAGTCCTGGTTCAGTCCTAGTTCAGTCCTGGTTAAGTCCTGTTTTAGTCCTGGTTCAGTCCTGTCTTAGTCCTGGTTTAGTCCTGATTTAGTCCTGGTTCAGTCTTGTTTTAATCCTAGTTTAGTCCTGTTTTAGTCCTGGTTCAGTCCTGTTTTAGTCCTGGTTCAGTCCTGTTTTAGTCCTGGTTCAGTCTTGTTTTAGTCCTGGTTCAGTCTTGTTTTAGTCCTGGTTCAGTCTTGTTTTAGTCCTGGTTCAGTCTTGTTTAAGTTCTGGTTCAGTCCTGGTTCAGACCTGGTTTAGACCTGGTTTAGTCCTGGTTTGGACCTGGTTTAGTCCTTGGTTCAGTTCTTGGTTCAGTCCCTGGTTCAGTCCTGGTTTAGTCCTGGTTCAGTCCTGGTTCAGTTCTGTTTTAGTCCTGGTTCAGTTCTGTTTTAGTCCTGGTTTAGTCCTGGTTCAGTCCTGTTTTAGTCCTGGTTCAGTCCTGTCTTAGTCCTGGTTCAGTCCTGTTTTAGTCCTGGTTCAGTCCTGCCTTAGTCCTGGTTCAGTCCTGTTTTAGTCCTGGTTCAGTCCTGTCTTAGTCCTGGTTCAGTCTTGTTTTAGTCCTGGTTCAGTCCTAGTTCAGTCCTGGTTCAGTTCTGTTTTAGTCCTGGTTCAGTTCTGTTTTAGTCCTGGTTCAGTTCTGTTTTAGTCCTGGTTCAGTCCTAGTTCAGTCCTGTCTTAGTCCTGGTTCAGTCCTGTCTTAGTCCTGGTTCAGTCCTGGTTTAGACCTGGTTTAGACCTGGTTTAGACCTGGTTTGGACCTAGTTTAGTCCTGGTTTGGACCTGGTTTAGTCCTTGGTTCAGTTCTTGGTTCAGTCCCTGGTTCAGTCCTGGTTCAGTCCTGGTTCAGTCCTGGTTCAGTCCTGGTTTAGTCCTGTTTTAGTCCTGGTTCAGTCCTGGTTCAGTCCTGTTTTAGTCCTGGTTCAGTCCTGTTTTAGTCCTGGCTCACGTGTTGTCGTCTACGATTTATATTCTGTAGGTGATTATAAAAGTCTGGAATGTTTCACAGTGCGGCATTAAACCTTTCTACCTTCACGGAGACCAAACCAGGCCAAGTTCCGGGTCAGATCTGCGTAAACGTAAGACAGAGCCGCTTAATATCACACTGTGGAACATTCCGGGCAGAGCAGTGGCGTATCCGTGGAAACGAGGAGCAGGTGACGTTACAGGGTTGGCCTTTAAAATCTAAAATCATATCCCGGCGTTGTCTTGTTTGCGTGTTTTGCATTTGGAGAAACAAACAGAAGAGGTTGATTAAAAAAGCCAGCAGGGTAGAACGCCTTAGTGATAATTAATTACACCAGTGATGCAGCCAAATCAAGGCGGCCGCCATTTTGAAGACAGTCGTAAATAATAAAAGATTTCCTCTCATCTCCTGTCAGCGAATGAGACAAAGGCGCAGAGCCGGGCAACGCCAAACAATACAGACTCCAGGCCAGTGCGTTACATGTGTCTGCTGGATTATTAGACGATTCTACGACTGTAATTTGTCTGATAAGTTACATATTTTTTGTTTTGCTTTTTTTTTTTAGATCAATTTTGAAATATGAACTAATACAATATAATCGCACACATCAGATTTGACTCTAACTGCAAGACCCAATAGAGAATTTGTGTTTTATTCTTTATAAAATTGCAAATAAAATAAAAAAAAATTCGAATACTTTTTTTGTTTTTTATAAATTGTTAACCTCAGAGCTTTATATGTAATTGTTTGTGTCCAAAATCGGGATGGGACTAGAAATATCGATATATCGTGTTGTTTAAACCTGGTTTAGTGCTGGTTTAGTCCTGGTTTAGTTTTGGTTTAGACCTGGTTTAGAACTGGTTCAATTCTGGTTTAGTCCTAGGTTAGTCCTGGTTTAGTTTTGGTTTAGACCTGGTTTAGTTTTGGTTTAAACCTGGTTTAGTTTTGGTTTAGACCTGGTTTAGTCCTTGGTTCAGTCCTTGGTTTAGACCTGGTTCAATTCTGGTTTAGTCCTAGGTTAGTCCTGGTTTAGTTTTGGTTTAGACCTGGTTTAGTTTTGGTTTAATCCTGGTTTAGACCTGGTTTAGTCCTGGTTTAGACCTGGTTTAGTCCTGGTTCATTCCTTGGTTCAGTCCTGGTTTAGACCTTTTTTAGTTCTGGTTTAGACCTGGTTTAGTCCTGGTTCAGTCCTGGTTTAGACCTTGTTTAGTTCTGGTTTAGTCCTGGTTTAGACCTTGTTTAGTTCTGGTTTAAACCTGGTTCAGTCCTGGTTTAGTCCTGGTTCAGTCCTGGTTCAGTCCTGGTTTAGTCCTGGTTTAGTCCTGGTTTAGACCTGGTTCAGTCCTCGTTCAGACCTTCTTTAGTCCTGGTTTAGACCTTGTTTAGTTCTGGTTTAGTCCTGGTTCAGACCTTCTTTAGTTGTGGTTTAGACCTGGTTCAGACCTGGTTTAGACCTAATTTAGTCCTGGTTTAGACCTTGTTTAGTTCTGGTTTAGTCCTGGTTCAGACCTTCTTTAGTTCTGGTTTAGACCTGGTTTAGACCTAATTTAGTCCTGGTTTAGACCTAATTTAGTCCTGGTTTAGACCTTGTTTAGTTCTGGTTTAGTCCTGGTTTAGTCCTGGTTATTCCTGGTTCAGCCCTTGGTTCAGTCCTTCTTTAGTTCTGGTTTAGACCTGGTTCAGTCCTGGTTCAGTCCCGGTTTAGACCTGGTTTAGTTCTGGTTTGTTTAGAGAAAGGAAACTTGTTTATGCAGCACTTTTCACATTTTCACAGTTTTGAGGATTAAAATGCATTTCAGCGATTATTCTTTTACTGAATCATATCGAACCAATTTGAAATATACCATATCGAATCGTATCAAATCGAAAGCGCCCTGTATCGAAAAACAATACAATACAATCACATGCATCAGATTTGACTCTAACTGCAAAACCCAACAGAGAATTTGTATTTTATTCTCAACATAAAATTGCGAATTTTAAAAGAAAATTCTAACATTTTGTTGTTTTTTTTTCTAAATTGTTAACCTCAGAGCTTTATACGCAATTGTTTGTGTCCAAAATCGGGATGAGACTAGAAATATCGATATATCATATGTTTTAATGTGATGATACAGTATCGATATCGTGGGTTTCTGTATCGATATATCGTCAAAAGTTATTTTTTGGTGTATTTTACTCAATTATTTTATTGCTTGTTTATAAAAAGGAAACTTGTTTATGCAGCACTTTTCACATTTTCACTGCTTTCAACAATTATTTTTTACTGAATCGAGTCAAATCTTATCAAATCGAAAGCTCACTATATCGAAAAATGTATGGTATCGTGACCTATGTATCGTATCGGCAACTTCTTAATGATACCAAGCTCTAAATGGGACAAGATTAAATTTTGACAAGACGAGACAAGATACGAGTTTGGGTCCAAGACGAGATTAAATTTCACGGTTCAGTTTCTGATTTTGGCCTCACACATTTTTTAAATTTAGATTTCATAGTTTTGTTTCCATTTTAGTACCGCTCTTTGGAACTGTTAGAGATGTAACTCACCAAAAAATAATCTGTTTTTGTCCAATTTAAATGTAAAAAAATTGGGAAAAAAATCTCACAAGATCATTTTTCTCATGTGTGCACGATTTTCATTTTCGTTGGGAATTTCGTTTTCGTCTCGCGAGATCTTGTCTCATCCCTACTGGCTTACCATTTCAGAATTTTAGTGTAATTTCTTCTCTACATAAATTCACTTTTTTGTTTTTTTGATTTCGATAAATTGTTGACCTTTTAAAACCTCTTAAATACTTGTTTGTGTTCAAGAGCACTGAGTAAAACAGAAAGATGAACTGCCACACTAAGACCCAACAGATAATTATAATAAATTTTCTTCTCTGCGGAAAATATCAAATTCAAATTAAAAAAATTTCAAAATTCAAATAGTTTTTTTGCTTTTTTTTTGATGAACTCTTCACCCTCAGTTGCCTGTAAACAAAAGCATTAACATTTGAGAAAAAACTGAAAACATGACAAGAAAAAACCCCATTGTAATCATGCTTAAACTCAAACTCACAAGCTCCAAAGTCGAAGGGAATTAGAAAATTTTTTGTTATTAATCCGTTTTTGATAAATTAGCCCCCCCCCCGAGATGTTTAACACACAATTTTTTTCTTTGAAACACCGTCAAGACAAGACAAGCTGCGTTCTCTTCTCCACAAACACAAAAAGTAGTCGACACCGCTGCGTTTCTTTCATTATATAAATATCTTTAATTGTTTTAACCGTAAGAATATAAAAGCATTTAATTTGGGCATTGCATTATTCTTCTTTACAAACACGTAATATACACAACAGATTTTCCGTTATTTGCACGCCCACACGCACGGAAAAACACGCACGCACGCACACTTCAGCAGGACACTCACCCCGATATGAATTCATAGCAGGTCATTGCATTACACCGAGACGCGCGCACGTACACACACACCGATGGGAGCCTGTGTCGTGCACGTGAGTTGCATGTGTGAAAAAAGAAGAAGAAGAAGAAGGAGGGAGAGAGAAGGAGGGATAGACGGAGGAGACGGCTTGTAACTTGACACCGAGCTGAGGAGGAAGAAGAAGAAAAAAAAAAAAAAAAAAAACGAGGAAAAATGATCGATTTCTGGTATTTCTGTTCCGTAGGGTCGAGATAGCCGGGTTTAGACGGGCTTTGTGTCCCTCCCTGTTTTTACGTCGTCTCTTAACGTGTGAATTTGCGGGTGTTGAAACGTGGCGGATATAAAATTAAACAATGAAAACCCTGATCGCATTCAGTCATAAAGGGAATTAATATCTATAAGAACACTTCAATTTGAAGTAGGACACTCTGTGCATTAACAGCCCCCCTATAGCGAAAGCACCACACTGCCGATTCATCGATATCATAGGTTGTGTTCACGAAAATGTTATTATTTCAACTTCAGATTATAACTAATACAACTACGGACATTTTTTATATAGATTTACCAACAGCCAAATCGAAAATATGCTTGAAATTCAACTACAAACTTGCCTTTTTAATCTTACAATCGACAAAAACGCCACTTTCGGCTCTTTTACGAGATCCGATTCTTTTGGATTTGCTCCAAAACTGCCTCTTTCGATATTTACTGATACGACAGAAGCCGATGTGAAAACGTGTTTCGATTATTTTAACTAATCACGGAGAGAAACAGGTAAGATCGGTTTGGAATTTCATCTACATGAACTCTGAAATTGTGAAAATATTCACCGTAAATCAGGTCAAAACATCTGCAATCTGAGTTTGTGGCAATAAAAATAAAAAACGCACACTACGAAAGGTAATATCTGAATAAATTACACTTTCACTTACTCAAATTAAGAATATTTTTGAGCTTGATTAAAGTAGATTTCGCTTGACAAGTAAAATTATCTACTACTAGATTCAGTATTTTTTTCTTAATTCAAACAACAAATGATTTACAGTGAAGTACAAAGTGTTTTATCTTGTATTTTTAGGCGTATTTTCTTATTTCAAGTACAAAAAGGTAGACAATTTTACTTTTTTACGCAAATCAACCTTCTTACTTTGACAAAATTTTAGTTTTTGTCGTCCAAATCGTTCCACCTGTTCGGTTTTGGCGACTTAAAAATCCCATTCTCGTGAACCCAAGCTATTATTAAAAACTAGATTTAAGCTGGAGGTATTGAAAGTTAAGGGGCGATAAAAGTCGGGGTTTGAAAATGGATGACGTTTTCGTATTTTGCTTTTCGCTCTTGAAGTTGGACGGCCCTGTTGCCTTCTCGCTGCAGTAGCTGTGAGTTGTACTGGGTAAATTAACAAAGGTAGTTAGGCGTCCTGGACGGGGTGGGCGAGTGGGGGAGGGTCAGACACAGGCCTATAGGCACATTTCTCTTATTTCATTCACGCTCTGCTTTTTTAAAACAGTATTCACCCTTCCGAAAACGCACACGAGGTAGCCAAAATGTCATAGGCGTGATGGCTGCACTGAAGCGAGTCATGTCTACAAACTCTGATACCAAAACGGGCTCAGGCTAGTTTTAAAATCTCACTTTGATGGGAAATAAAACGAAATAGAACGATTTAATACATGCCGACTGCAGAGAAATGTGAGTTTCTGAAGAGGCATGACGCAGTTTCTTCACAAAACGGTTAAAAATTAAATCATAAGTAAGATATTAAAACTGAACGCGAGATGAAAACTGTTAAAAGTGGATAGAAGGTGAGACTGAACTGCTCTAGCACATGTCTGAAATGCTACAGTTTTAAAGGCCAAATCAAACACAGATCAGATCAGTGTGGTCACTGGAGATACACACCTTTGATAAGAGCAGGAGGAACGAAGCTCTGTTCAAATATAAAGTCCCCCACTGTCCCCCAAGTGTCCACTGTCCAAAACAAACCGGCCCAGAGGTGCGGCCCATCACCTGACCTTCTCGCTCTCCGTCATCTGCCACAGCCCCAGGTTGAGCACCTTGAGGCAGGGCAGCTGGGTGATCCTCTCCAGGCCTCTCTTGGTGATCTTGGTGCAGCCGTACAGATCGATGCCCACCAGCTGGGTCAGGTGGTCTGCGATCAGCTCCAGGCCTTTGTCCGTGATGCGCACGCACTGCCCGATGTTCAGAGTCCTGAGCTCGTGCATCTGTCGCACCATTCGGTTTATGCCGTCATCGGAGATGTGACAGGAGCAGAGTGACAGGGACTTGAGCTGGTACAGTCCCTGCGCGATGTACGCCAGCGTCTGGTCCCCGATCTTATCACAGAAGGACACGTCCAGCCCGGAGAGCCTGAGCGTGCCCATGGCCAGGTGCATAGCGCCAGTGTCACTGATGTTATCGCAGGAGCGCAGGTTCAGCCTCCACAGAGACGTCATGTGCGACAGGTGCAGCATGCCGGCGTCCGAGATGCCCCCGCAGAAGCTCAGGTTGAGCACGCGCAGCTTGGCCAGACCTTTGGAGATGTGTTTGAGGGACAGGTCTGTGAGCTTCTGACAGTCCTGCAGAATGAGGAACTCCAGGTTCAGACATCCCTCTGCAGCGCTGCGGGTCATGCCCGCTAAGTGCCCGATGCCCACGTCAGACACATGTCGACAGGAGCGCAGGTTTAAACTCTTGAGTCTGTGCAGCCCCCAGGCCACCAGAAGGAGCCCTGTGTTTGTGATGTTACTGCAGCCGCCCAGCTCCAGGACCTCCAGGTTCTTGAGGTACTGAGCGATGCGCCCCAGACTGGAGTCTGTGATCTGTTTACACAGGCTGAGGTTGAGCACGCGCAGAGAGGGGATCTCCTGCACGAACGCGTGGCCCAGCCCGTTGTCCGTCAGGTTGTAGCAGCCGGACAGGTTCAAGGACTCGATGTTGGGCATTCCCTGGATCACGTAGCTCAGGCTGCGGCGCAGAGACAGGATCTGAACCCTGCGGATGCCCCGGGCCTGGAGGCTGGGGAACAGAGACGGGTTGGCTCTGCGGAGGTGCAGCTTGGCCTCCACCCCCCTCCACACAGACTTGTGGTAGGACGCGTCCCTCCAAGCGATACAGACCTGGGCCACCCTGCCTTTGTCCCTCACATCCAGATAGCTGAAAATCATGGCCAAAATTTCTGGGAAGAGGCACGAAATGTGCGTCTCCATTGTTTTTTAAACCCCAGGCATAAAAGAAGTTAATACTCCACTCACCCAGGCCAGAAAAAGTCACACTAGCTCCACTTGCAGTATTGCAAAAAGTAGCAACAGTCCCACTTATCCACACAAGTAAACCGGAGGAGTTTGTCTCTCACTGAACTGTGCACAATCGATCCAACTCTCAGTCCCACGTGATCCGCTGTGGTGGCGCAGCAGGACTCAGATGCGTAAAAAGAAGCCAAAATCTCCAAAAAAGCGTTTATTCCTGTGTGTGTCTTTACCCCTCTCTCTCTCTCCGCCAAAAAGAGGAACAGAGGGGGCCGGGGCAGGAGGAGGAGAGGAGGGAAACAGCCCGTCCCCTCGCGCCCTCTCTCACACGACGCTTCCTCGTCTTCTGCCCGGGGAAGGCGCTCCTCTGCCGGCCGCGCGAGGGTCCAGACGGTCGTACATTTCACAAAAACAAAGTGGAACAAACCGGGCGTCTCAGTGCGCGCTGCGTGCGGACGTTTCCATGGCGGAGCTGCGCTGTGTGCGGAGCGCGGAGAGGGGCAGTGCTTTGTGGGCAGAGTGAGGGAGAGAGAGCGGCGTCCTGGGCTCAAAGCCTTTGTCTGCTCTTTTCAAACCGACTTGGCACGGACCACGTCACTGCGCCGCGCTCGGAGGGGGAACTGGAACCGTGCGCGTTCACAAAACACCCAAATCCATCGCTATTACGCAATTCATAACGCGTTCATACACATTTATAACCATCATAACCGCAGCTAACATCGTATTATCACATTATTACGCACTATTTTTACGCGTCATAACTCGTAGTGCCGTGGAAACTCCCCTACCCCCTACGTGTCACGCGCTTGGTACGGTCTGCCTCAGCTGGAACGGTGCGAACAGTTTCCCTTGGTAACCAACTTCTTACAATTCAGTTCACTTTGGGCTTTAACCCTTTGAGCGGACCACACAGGAGAGGCAGAGCAGAGGCAGGCCGCTCCACGAGGATTTACTGCTACAATAACTTATTTTAGGGCTGTTTTGTAGCGTTTATACCGGTTTTATTGTTCCTGAGGTTGATATCAAAAGGAAACCGGGGACACAGTGATGCAGACTCGAGACGATTTTGTTAGTTTAAGCGGTTTTTGACAGGTTCAAATTAGGGCTAAAGCAGGGCTGAAAAAAAGGTGTAATAAAGGCATAATACAGGGCTAAAGTAAGACTAACTTGAACCAGATTAAGACAGGACTAAACCAGGACTAAAACAGAACTAAAACAGGTCATAATAAAGACGTAATACAGGACTAAACCAGGACTAAAAGACGACGAAAACAGGAGTAGACCAGAACTAAACCAGGACTAAACTAAGATTTACTTTAATCAGATTAAGACAGGACTAGACCAGGACTAATTCAGGACTAAAACAAGACTAAAACAGGACTAAATCAGGACTAGGCCAAGACTAAAACAGGACTAAATGCTGACTAAACTGAAACTAATTTTAACCAGATTAAGACAGGACTAGACCAAGACTAAAACAGAACTAGACCTGGACTAAAACACGACTAAAACAGGTGTAATACAGGACGAAACTAAGACTAACTTTAACCAGATTAAGACAGGATTAAAACAGGACTAGACCTGGACTAAACTAAAACTAACTTTAACCAGATTAAGACAGGACTAAAACAGAACTAGACCTGGACTAAAACGGGACTAAACCTGGACTAAACTAAAACTAACTTGAACCAGATTAAGACTAAACCAGGACTAAAACAGAACTAAAACAGGTCATAATAAAGACGTAATACAGGACTAAACCAGGACTAAACTAAGATTTACTTTAATCGGATTAAGACAGAACTAGACCTGGACTAAAAACAAACTAAAACAAGTGTAATACAGGACGAAACTAAGACTAACTTTAACCAGATTAAGACAGGACTAAAACAGGACTAAACCTGGACTAAACTAAAACTAACTTTAACCAGATTAAGACAGGACTAAAACAGGACTAAACCTGGACTAAACTAAAACTAACTTTAACCAGATTAAGACAGGACTAAAACAGGACTAGACCAGGACTAAAACAGGACTAGACCAAGACTAGACCAGGACTAAAACAGGACTAAACTAAAACTAACTTTAACCAGATTAAGACAGGACTAAAACAGGACTAAACCAGGACTAGACCAGGACTAAACCAGGACTAGACCAGGACTAAAACAGGACTAGACCAAGACTAGACCAGGACTAAAACAGGACTAGACCAGGACTAAAACAGGACGAAACTAAGACTAACTTTAACCAGATTAAGACAGGACTAAAACAGGACTAAACCTGGACTAAACTAAAACTAACTTTAACCAGATTAAGACAGGACTAAAACAGGACTAGACCAGGACTAGACCAGGACTAGACCAGGACTAAAACAGGACTAGACCTGGACTAAAACACAACTAAAACAAGTGTAATACAGGACGAAACTAAGACTAACTTTAACCAGATTAAGACAGGACTAAAACAGGACTAAAACCTGGACTAAACTAAAACTAACTTTAACCAGATTAAGACAGGACTAAAAACAGGACTAGACCAGGACTAAAACAGGACTAGACCAAGACTAGACCAGGACTAAAACAGGACTAAAACCTGGACTAAACTAAACTAACTTTAACCAGATTAAGACAGGACTAAAACAGGACTAAAACAGGACTAACCAGGACTAGACCAGGACTAAAACAGGACTAAACTAAAACTAACTTTAACCAGATTAAGACAGGACTAAAACTAAACCAGGACTAGACCAGGACTAAAACAGGACTAGACCAAGACTAGACCAGGACTAAAACAGGACTAGACCTGGACTAAAACACAACTAAAACAAGTGTAATACAGGACGAAACTAAGACTAACTTTAACCAGATTAAGACAGGACTAAAACAGGACTAAACCTGGACTAAACTAAAACTAACTTTAACCAGATTAAGACAGGACTAAAACAGGACTAGACCAGGACTAAAACAGGACTAACCAAGACTAGACCAGACTAAAAACAGGACTAACCTGGACTAAAACACAACTAAAACAAGTGTAATACAGGACGAAACTAACTAAGACAGGACTAAGATTAAGACAGGACTAAAACAGGACTAGACCAGGACTAAAACAGACTAGACTAAGACCAGGACTAAAACAGGACTAGACACTAAAAACACAACTAAAACAAGGAATACAGGACGAAACTAAGACTACTAACCAGATTAAGACAGGACTAAAACAGGACTAAACCTGGACTAAACTAAAACTAACTTTAACCAGATTAAGACAGGACTAAAACAGGACTAACCAGGACTAAAACAGGACTAGACCAGACTAGACCAGGACTTAAACAGGACTAAACTAAAACTAACTTTAACCAGATTAAGACAGGACTAAAACAGGACTAAACCAGGACTAAACCAGGACTAAAACAGGACTAAAACAGGACTAAACAGGACTAAAACAGGACAGACTAGACCAGGACTAAAACAGGACTAAACTAAAACTAACTTTAACCAGATTAAGACAGGACTAAAACAGGACTAAACCAGGACTAGACCAGGACTAAAACAGGACTAAACCAGGACTAAAACAGGACTAGACCAAGACTAGACCAGGACTAAAACAGAACGAGACCAGGACTAGACCAGGACTAAAACAGGACTAAACCTGGACTAAACTAAAACTAACTTTAACCAGATTAAGACAGGACTAAAACAGGAATAAAACAGGACTAAACCAGGACTAGACGAGGACTAAAACAGGACTAGACCAGGACTAAAACAGGACTAAAACAGGACTAGACCAGGACTAAAACAGGACTAGACCAGGACTAAAACAGGACTAAAACAGGACTAAACTAAAACTAACTTTAATCAGATTAAGACAGGACTAAAACAGGACTAGACCAGGACTAAAACAGGACTAGACCAGGACTAAAACAGGACTAGACCAGGACTAAAACAGGATTAAAACAGGACTAAACTAAAACTAACTTTAATCAGATTAAGGTAGGACTAAAACAGGGCTAAAACAGGACTAGACCAGGACGAGACCAGGACTAAAACAGGACGAGACCAGGACTAAAACAGGACTAAAACAGGACTAGACCAGGACTAAAACAGGTGTAATACAGGACTGAACCAGGACTAAACTAAGACCAACTTTAACCAGATTCAGACAGGACTAGATCAGGACTAGATCAGGACTACACCAGGATTATTGTTCAAGGCTCATTAGTATTTTAGACTTTTCATACTTTTCTTAAACCAGGACTCGACTAAGCCAGGGTGAAACTGGTTTTAGCAGGACTAAACCGGAACAAAACCAGGACTAGAGAACTAAATCCAGGTTTAGTCCTGTCTGATCCTGTTTTGTTTTTTTCTTGTTTTGTCGTACAGTCCTGGTTTTGTTTGGGTCCTATTCTAGTCCTGGTTTAGTCCTGGTTTAGTCCTATCTAATCTGTTGTTTTTCTGGTTATTTCTACTTTTATCTCTTTTATTTTGACCTGTAACCTAAATTTGAAAATAAAAATATCTTTTATTCAGTGTAACAGCCCATCGATAATGTATTATTTAGTAAAATTGTCACCACTTTATACCAAAATAGTCCCGGTTTTGTCTGGTCTTTACATGTTATAATCATCAAGTCCATTTATTCAGGATTATTACAGGCAGAAGTGAGAGATTTTCTATTGTCCCTTATTTTGGTTTGGTTAATATCACTGCTCGTCCGTCAGAAACATGCTGGTGTTTCTTCGCTCCATTTCCCGCAGTCAAAGGGCGACTCAAATTATACATACAACACGAACATAACAATAGATTTTTGTGTTACATTTTTATGATTCAGCGATCACAAGACTTTTATATTCTTAAAGCAGATCTGTGATTGTGCAAAGTCGACTTTTTGGTGCTTTTAATCGTGTCAGAGCTGTTCCCTCTTCTCATTTAAGATCTGAAGTTAATCTACACAAGAGCAGGAGAGAGAAAAGAGAAAGAAGAGAGTGGGAAGAAGGGAGAGAGAGTTTTCACCTTCTCCTGTACACGCCCACCGCTCTCTACTTACTTCATTTTACAATTTTATTTTCTTAGGCCCCACCCACACAAGTAAGGATTTGAGTCGTTTTCGTTGTGGATACAGTGTTCGTTCGCTCTAATCCGATGGAAAACGGCTCCAGAGACGGAACGATCTGGTGCCGATCGTCATGTCCACGAATTCATCCGAGTACAGATCTGATCCGGCGCCGTGTGGACGCCTGAAAACGCTGATACGCTGACGTAGGAGCTCCAGTTGTGTCCTGTATAAAAGAAGTGGACTAAGCGAGTGTGACGTCGTCCACAGTCAGTGTTGGGAAGGTCACTTTTAAAATGTATTCCCCTACAGATTACAAATTACATACCCCAGAATGTAGTTTGTAACGTAATCCATTAAGTTACTTAAAGTGAGTAATGTAATCTGAATACTTTGGATTACTTGATTTGCTGTAGAGAAGCAAAGACGAGGAAATCGAAACATAAGATGTTTTGTCTGATAAAAGAAAATAAAAAGCCCAGACTTTACTCAACCAAATTAAAAATATTATTGATAGAAG